TCCAAAACCAACCCAGCAACCTCCTATTCTAAATCACTTCACCAGCATCAACAATTAAATGAAAAATCAAACAGTGCATAAAATAAATAAATAAATGGTGATGAGTTCGTTACTCACCCTTCAGTGTAGTCGGCCTGAAGAAGGTCAAGATAAGTATCCCATTTGTTACCAATCACCTGCAAAAACGATGGAAGTTCCAATTGAATCAAACAGAAACAAACAGAAGTAAAACCCTAAAATGATTTCATATTAGGGTTTAGTCGCCAACCATAGAAAAAGAATTTCAAACAGAAAATACAAGAAGTAAACATTGTCGATCATAAAATGAAGAATAGGAAGAAAAAAAAAAACCTTGCCGCAGGTGAAGCAGCGAACCGGAATAATCATTGTCGCCTTCAGCACCAGCTTGCCTCCTCTTCTCTCCCGCTGCTCTGGTTTAGCGCGCTTCTTATTTGCTCTGGAACTGGAAAATTGTAACGGGGATTTTAGGTTTTAAGTTCACTCAAATTTACCGTTATAAAATATTCACGTAGAAACGCCGTCGTTTAGATTAGGGATTGTCGGTTTTCCCTTTTGGGTTTGTCTACCATGCGGGCACATGCAAGAAATGATTATTAAATAATAGTTATGAGAATTTTTTTTGCAAATTGTTAAATTTTATAATGAAAAAATAACTTCTAATTTTTAATTTAAAATTAATTAATCAAAATTTAACCTATGAAATTTATAATTAAAATAAAAAATTAATTTTATTATTTTTAAGATAAAAATTAATAATTATTATATACTTAATATTCTTTATTACATACTCTAAAGGTATATGATAGATAATGGCTTTTCTTTTTTACTAAACCATTCAATATATAAAAACCACACTGGATTCTAATCAAATAGAATGATTTTCTTTTATTAAATAATCCATGCACTTGTCTAATTGTCTTTTATCATAATAAGAAGAAAATGAAATATATAAATAGAAATAACAATAATAAATACTCAAATAAAACGAACTAACATAAGTATTGGGTTTTTCTTTTAATAAGAAAATTTTTTTATATGTTATATTATAAATTATACAATAAATGATATCTTTTTTTTTTTTCAAACTCTTCCGTACCTATTTGAAAATTTAAATTTAAAACTTCTCACACTAGAGATCAAAGTCTTAAAGTGAAGCATCCCTCATGAGACTTTTCTAATAGGAACATAAACATAATGTTCATAATGTTTATAACACCAAAAATTAAAAATTAAAATCATGTTTATAAAGTTTATAAGCAAATATTCATAAGTTTGAGAATAAAATTTGTTTATTGCACAAAAAAAAAAAAATATATATATATATATATATATCTTTAAGAGTATGTTTAGTGATTGGTTTGCTTGCGAGTAAAAATTAAAGAGCTTTTTAATACGTGCTCTTAAGATTACATTTTTATCATAAATATATATGTGAAAAAATATAAAAATTAATATTAATTTTAGTGTTAGTATCAAGTAGATGAATTTAATTAGATAATTGATAAATTAAAAGTTAAATTTTTTTAATTAATATAAATTTATAACAAAAAATATTTTTATTACACCATTAATATATGTCTTAAGAGCTCATGTTTAGAAAAACTCAAAAACTAATTAAATTGATTTTTTAATTTTAATATCTAAACAAATTCAATATAAATTGTTTGAATGAAAGGAATTCAGTTTTCCTTAAATAAGATTTAAAATTTGAGTATTGTAAATGAAAAAATAGATGCCGAAAGAATTTTCTTATTTATGGATCTGACTCGACTCGATTTTGAATTAATTAGGGTTTAATGTAATTATTGGATACCGATTGGTTAGTACAAAAAGAAAAATTCAATGTAAATTGAATTGGATCAATTTTTTATTGATTTAATTTAGTTTAGGTTAGATCAATAAATTTAGATTAGGTGTAAACACCCTGCTAAAATTCATTAAACTTAAAAAGTATTGATCAATTAGTTTAGATCAATTATCATAAATGTTGGAATCTTTAATTAAAAAATTTTTAAAAGTAAAAATATCGATTCATAAAGAAAAATATTTTACCTTTAATTAAAAATTTTATGAAATGAAATCTCTAAACTTAATCAACATTGATGCACCTAACGTTGTAAGCCGCTTAATAATGGTGTGTTCATTCAATCCCCCTACCTAAAAAATTGCCCTTGATAAAAAAAAAAAAAAAAACATTGAATAATTTAAATTCACCGTCATTCAACGAGAAAGCAGCCACGAACCATGAAAAATGTCTTTGACAAATGTGCAACATTATCATTATTCATCTCCATTATTTCAAAGAGAAAATAATAATGCATATGATATTTATGATTTGATGGTTATATATTTTACTATAAAATATATTTTTAATTTTAAGATTGGGGTTTAAATTTCTCTCCCTCAATTGTAATAAAATAAAATAATAATAAATTATTATCAATAATATATTAATTTAAGTAAAAAATTAAAAATTTTTAAATAAAATTTTTAATTTAATTTTTTTAAATAAAATTTTTTTATCTTAATTACATAATAAAGATCAATTATTTTTCATCTCTTATCCTATTCTATTCACTCCGTATATCATGTAACTCAAAATTATAATATTTTATTTTTAATAAAAAAATAATTATTGAATTATTTAAATAATTAATAAACTAAAATTTTAAATTTAAAACTTATTAAATAAAAAATAAGCACACCACCACCATAAAAATATATATATATATATATATATGATGGGATTTACACGCATTGGTTGCGTAGTGTATATATGAAAATCCCGTGAAACGTGGCTGTTACACTGACTCACCCGCCAAAATTACCGGCCAACAGAAGAAGGCAAGTAGGTAGGAGAGAGAATCAGGGGGGGCTGGGGTGAGGGGCCTTTATGCGTGGGTCCCACCGTGGGGCTGTGTTGGGGGCCGGGGGTACGTGGAGCAGTCTACCAAAACCAACCCCGCAATTTCCCTTTCTACCTTTTTTTTTTTTTTTTCCCCCCTTTTTATTAAATTCTGGCTGACGGGGGTCGTACCGACCGCCCGACCACCACGGCATGTATTTCATGATTCCCCCAACTACATTTTCTTTTTCT